CCGGTCCCCACCAGTTTGCTCTTCTCTTTGAAAAGTAAAATTCTTTCATTGTTATACAATCCCTCTCCCAAGTCCACTCCACTATGCAGCCTTCGTTCTGGACCCCTGCCATGGCAATTATACCTAATCATATATCCCTTTCAAACAGTTCTCTCCCACATCTATTTCAATGCAGTATACATAATTAATCCCCTCTTTCTCAGTCTCCCCTCAACCCTGATGTCAGTCCCATTTTACCTTTTTAAAAAGCTCTCTGCTCTTATTCTAAAAAACGGTACTCATTACAAAGGGGTTTTTTTTGGTTTTTTGTTTCTTTTAATAGTTAAATTTTAGTTTCTCAGCCAGAAGCATGCTATTACTATTTTTCTTCTTTTTTTAATTAATTTTAATGAAAGTTTACAGAGACTTGGGATTTCCATTCATTCATTATTGCACTTTTATCCCTTACCACCCCTCCCCCCAATTCACTCTTATCTTTGAAAAGTAAAAGAAAAATTCTCTCATTGTTATACAGTCCCTCCCCCCCAAGTCCACTCCACTGTGCAGCCTTCATTCTGGACTCCTGTCATGACAATAATACCTAATCATATATCCCTTTTAAACAGTTCTCTCCTTCCTCTGTTTCAATGAAGGAATACATTCAATACATTCTTTATCCCCTCTTTCTCAGTCTTCCCTCAACGCCGATGTCAGTCCCATTTTACAACAGTAGCACCATGCAATATTTGCCCTTTTGTGACTGAGATATTTCACTCAGCATAATGTCCTCCAGGGTCACCCATTTTGTATAATATTTCATAAATTCCTTGATTTTCAATGCAGCATAGTATTTCATTGTGTGAATATACCACAGCTTCTCTAGCCATTCGTTTGCTCATGGGCACTTGGGTTGTTTCCAACCCTTTGCTATTGTGAACAAAGCAGCAATAAACATGGGTGTGCAGATAGTCATTAAAACATTTTAAGTAACACTAGAAATGACTGGTTTTACTTTTTAAAGAAAGCTCTGGAATTAAGGTGAAGAATAGGCTTTGAAGGAGGCCAGAGTAAATTTGGAGTAAGCAGTAAGAGAGCTATTTCAATAGTTCTGGCAAAAGTTAGTAGATTGGACTAAGGATGTCAGGGTGAAGATGAAGCGAAAGTATAATACATTTTTAACTTGATAGAAAAAAGGATTATTGAAAAGACAAGGTCAAGAGGTAAGGCGCTAAGGTATTATCCATATGGATCATCCGTGTGAACTTAAAGTCACTCATAGCATGGAGTGGAGAGAACAACTATGTCTTAGGTACTAAGGTGTGTAATAAGTGAGAGACGATAACTTGAGGGAATAGTTTTTTTAAAAATGTTCTCAGGTCCCGTTGAATCCACTGTGGCTCATATTGATCTTATGGGTAATGGATTTGAACCTTGCCCTATCCTGTGCCATCTTTATCATCCTTGTTTTACTTGAGTCCATTGTTATAGTTCCTGTGTGAATTCATTTCATTGAAGATCTTCCTCCACCTTTCCAAGCTTCATGCCGCTTTACAAGGAGTGATTCTCCTAACAACATGTCCCAAGTATGTGAGATAAAATTTCACGATCTTTGCCTGTATGGAGCATTTGGTTGCACTTTCTCCAAAATATATTTGTTTATTCTTTGACAGTCTTCAGAATCCTCAGCACTCTTCTATAACACCACAACTCAAATGCATCAATTCTTCTCCTTTCACAACTGAATAGCAATTGAAAAGACAGTGGCTTTTTTTTTTGTATTTTCATGATTACATTTATTTGAAGAATTGGAGAAAAAGAAAAATACCATTTAGCTTCAGAATTTATAAGTTATCTGCGAATCAACTCATTTCAGGAGTGGAAGAATCATTGGCCATTTCTGAGTATGAACATTTATACAGGTTTCTCTTTGTAATATTTTTTAAATTTTTTTTTTATTTCAATGAACATCTACAGACTTTAGAATCCATTAATTCATTGTTGCACTTTTCTCCCCGACCCCCCCCCCCCCCCCCCCCCCCCCCTTGCCTCCTCTCCTTGACAAACAAAAGAAAAACTCCTTTGTTGGTACACAAATATAATCCACTTTGCAACCCTCATTCAGTGACCTTTTAAAAGAGAACAGAGAAATAATGGCTTAGAAAGAACAAAGGGGAGCTTGCACCATCAATCTCATTTCCTGACCTGGCACTACAAAGGGATGTGAGAAATGAAGCATTTTCCAAATGAGAAGCAGTATTCCCTGTAAATGGAACCATTACAAAGGGCAAACTGGAAAGGTTTGTGAGATTCAAGAGATCTAGGAGAGTGGATCAGAAGCAAGAACACAAGTTGCTCGAGAAGAGTACTGAATGTCCCATGGATTACCAAAATAACGATCACATCTTGGAGGAATTAAAACCAGGATGTTCCTCAGAGGCAAGTGTGGTGACACTTTGTCCTACATCCTTTGGACATGTTGTCAGGAGGAGCTAGTCCTTGGACAAGGATATCATGCAGAGAAAGGAGGAGGGTCTGAGAAAGAGAGAAAGATCCTTAACTAGATGGATTGACACAGTGACCGTAACAGTAGGTTTGAGCATATCAGCGATCCACGGTGCATTAGAAGACAAGGCTCAGATCTGTTCTTCATAGGGTTGTTAAGAGTTTATCAGATGGCACCTAACAAAGACAAAGGGCAGCATTGTAATGGAAAATGAGGACGTTACACTTTGAATAAAGAGTGATGATAGTAGAGATGAAAGACATCATAGATTTCAATTTTGTGGTATCCATATTAAGATTGAGCTTTAGATCTAGTATAATGAAGATTGATTACTACTACATTTCATCTTTTCCCATTGACACATCTCCCACTTATATTTCTCTTGTGAACTGTGGGTTGTGTCGGTTCTTTAATTGTTAATTTCATACTCCTATAATACAAATTATAGATAATTTATATGTATATATATATATAATGATCATTGTTGGCACAGTGTTTAAATAGTTGGCTACAAATTAAAAGGTTAGTAGTTTAAACCTATCAACCACTCTTCAGAAGAAAGATGACAAAATCTCCTTCTTAAAAATATTTCAGTCTTGGAAAACCTATGAAGAAATTCTATTCTGCCCCATCAGTTTGCTATGAATCAGTATAAATTTGATTGAATGGGTATAATTTGACTTTTATTATATGTACTAAATCATGTTTCCCCAGTTAATATTTGACTTTTAATTTTAGGACAAGTTTTTGTTTATGTTTTGTTTTATTGTTTTAATGTAAAATAATTTGTTTGCAATGAACTTAGTCAGTTTTTAATCTCTGCTTGATCATCTCTTTACATTTACATTTATTTTCTTGTATCCTTCTCAAACATTCCAGTAGTTCAAATGTTGTGCAAAAAATATTTTGTGATTGTTCTTCTTGCACTGTGATTGATAGTGATGAAATATTGCAGACATCACTACTGTAGTCTGCGGGACAACCTCTGATTCTTGTAGTTTAAAAGAGAAAATTCAAAAGGGATGGGACATTTGCTAGACATTCTGTCTTGGTACTTAGCATCCGGTATTGCTGCTTTGCCCACCTGATATAGAACATAACCAAAACCATGCTATTTGCTAATAAACCTTTTTGATAAGTATGTAGATAAGCACAATAAGTATATAGAAAGAAGCATAGTGTATAGTTAGGGTAAATGCCAAGCAACAGACAGCCAGGAAATACAGTGACTTGAAAGACTAGTCTTTAACTATCCTAAAATTGACAGTCCACATTGTGAGAAAGGCTTGACTATCTCCATTGTTGAAACGGGATCTAGTGTATCCTTGTTCTAGCATTGATGGGAGGGGGATGGAAGAAGGGAGACGTTTAAAGGAGGCAAAAGTTGCACAAAAACCACTTTATCTCATGTTCTATCATTAAGAATTGGGCCACCTTGTTGTGAGGGAGGGTAGTCTTTAGTTGGGTGTTTGTCTCTGCAGAAAGGAAGAAGACTAGACTTGAAGATTACAATTAACAGTCTACCACAAATGAGAAAATGGTGTGAATTTGTCTACATAAGAGGTGTATAATTGATAAGAATTTCTCTAGAAAAGCAGGACATGGAATGTAAAATAATGTTCTCTGATAAATTCTTTTTTGTCAACTTCACAATATTAAAGGAAATACTTGCATTTATAGAAAAGGTTTAAAATTCTAGCACTTAATACTCTTATATGTTTGAAAATTACTCTTCAGATATACCCTCAATGACAGGAACCTTGGCCGAATCGTCACAATAGCAGAGCCTTTCAACACTGAACTACAGCTCTGGCAGGTATGAAGATAAAGCCATCTATGTTTATACCTAAGAATAGAATTAAATTTTATTCTTTTTTTCCTAAATATAATTGATTTTTTTTCTCCATTCAAATTGTAGAAAACAATGAGAAAATATCTATCTCCTGAAATGTGTGATATTTTTAATAAACTTTTTAAAAGAAAAATCAAAAGTTAAAAAGCAGAGAAAGTCTTAGAAGCCTTAGAAGGTTTACATGAGCCCATTTAATTTACCAAAGTGTGAAAAATCTGACTTCCTTTTCCAGGCACATGTGGTAACCTAGGAATGAGTTCATTAAGAGTTCTCAGAATCCGTAGTTTCAATGTAAATTTCTGTTAACCATTTTTAAAATATCTTAGTGCTTGGGGGTAAGGGGAATTCATCTATTCATGCTGGACAAATAGAAATTGTATGAATTTTCAATATCTGTGTATTAGACGTTTTTGTGTTAAATGACATTGAGTCAACTACAATTCATAAGCAACTATGAACAACAGATCTGACTCTTACCCCATCTGTACTAACCATGCAATCCCTGATATGCTTGAGGCGATGTTAAAATTAATCTACATGTTAAAAAGCAAAAGAATTCTCTTTTTTATGAATAGTAAATTATACTATATTGAGTTTTGGAAAGGGTTTTGGAAGGAAGAGGAAGAATAAAGGCAACTTCACAGAGATGTCTTTTTTTTTTAACAAGCCCTAACTAAGTAAACTAAAAATCTATTAAAGTACTCCAGATTCCATCATCCCACAAGCTAGATTTTGCAGGGGAAACCCTGGGGACTACATAGAAAAGATGGAAGCCAGAAGAAGCAAAAATGGGCCCAGAGCCTCTGGTACACTGTTCTCATTCCCTAATATGCCAGTTCCTTTGGTTCACAAGTTGCCAGGGTACAAATGCCATGACTAGTGATTGTTAATCACTAAAAGATAGGTTCAATCTGAATGATGAGGTAAGACATATATTGCAAGTGTTGTTAAGTGGTATAGAATGTCAAAAATCAAATACACCAAGTTTTTAAGTGAAATACTTAAAGAATAACTGGCTTTAAAAATGACTTCCTTTGTTATAATTTGTTTGTTTGTTTCTTCTTCTTTTTCTATTCTTACCTCCACACCCTCCAGATAAAGAGCTTTTTTGACCGGTTCCCAGAAGCTGGAGCAGGACAAACACCCAGGGAGCAAGTGCTGGAAACAGTGAAGAACAATATTGAGTGGCTAAGACAAAATAGAGACACCATTAGAGCATGGTTTTTGGATGTAACTCAGAATGGCTAGTGTGTTTAAATAATGTTTTCTAATTTTGTAAATGTATTATTTCTCTTATTTAGCATTTGACAACCTGATTTATAGTCACTATAGAAGGAGCCTTCAAAGTGCATACTATTTTTGCTAAGTATTGTGTTTATATGTCTCTTGAAATTTTTAAATTATTCTTCATTTTTTAGGAAGATACAAATAGAGTATTTCATATACTCAGGGATTTTTTTTCTAAATATACTTTATTGGAGATTCTTTACAGACTGAAGAGAATTTAACAGCAATTTCAATGTATTTAAATATAATTTTTTCTCTTAAATCTGTAAAATAGAACATTTTAGTCTTAGCTTTACATTTTTAGTACCAAAGAAACCACTTAATCTTATTTCTTGATTGATTTTTAAAATTTAACCAGTACTTGAGGGACCAAACTTAGCGCCTTAATCTTTATTTTATTATTCAGAATTACACCGACCTAGTATTATTTTATTCACACATGTCTTACTACTTTAAATCCTACCAAAGGAACCTGGGCTTAAGTTTTACTCAAAGATTCATGAATTAGCTAAAGAAATAGCTGACTGTTGCCTATGTGCTTATCAAATCAACCAGAAAACTCTTTTAAAAATGTATTTGAATGATTACCTTGTAAGAAAAATACATATTGTTTTCTATTGTTGATTTACCTTTGAATGAAAATGGGTTTAATGTTTTCCAAATAATTTCTCATATCACAAGTATGCATAAGAGTCCAATTTTTTTTATGCCTTGGTATTCATTCATTTTGTTTCATTCTCTACAAAACTCCTTCAAATATACTATGAAATTAGAAGGAATGTAGTACTTAACTCTGCTGTAGGGGTTTTAGATGGAAGACAAAGCTTAGTAATTGGAAACTTGTCAGGAAAGAGAGATGGCTCATCATTCCATATAACTGAGTGGAATTGGAATTTAGCTTTGACCTCACCTGGCAATCTGAGTATGAAACTGAGTAACCCAGGAAGATCTTCAGCATGACTCTGCATATCTGAGACTCTATCTTCTAATAGGTAAAAAGTTTTATCTATGAACCGTTAGATCCAAATCCTTACAGATAACACTGGTCTAATTTATATGCATGATTTGATTAAAGACATCAATTTCTTTAGAAGCTGGTGGCAAGAATATATTTAGTATGTCGCTTGATACCTTGTAGATCCATGGGGTAAGTTCAATAGGCAGAAAAGATGGTATTTTGCTGTGTTCAAATCTACTCTATCTTGAAGTCTGAATTTATTTGGAACCTTCAGATATACTTCTGAAGTACACTTTTAAGGTAATTTAATTGGCTTGATGAGAATCAAAACCTATGGAAGCTACCAAAATCTTAGCCTCGATGTTATTTACATAATAATGTGCCTTTGTCCTGTGCTTTGAAACTTTGTGAGCTTTCCTAATACTGACTCTTAATTACTTCTTTGCCAATGGAGCTAAACTGGAAAATTCAGGTGAACTGTGAGGGGAGGAGCAGTTTTTTTAAAAAAAAAAATCAAAAACCAAAAACCCACAAAGTAGCAATCTCCAGAATTTTTTAAAAATACTACTTTCAGTTAATTTAAAAGAAGAAAATTCAGTAATACCATAAATCATCAAGAAAACCTCATTATTATGGCAAGCTCTGGTAGCCTAGTGGCAAGAACTTGCACTGTAATCCCAAAGGTGCACAGTTCGAATTCACCAGATTCTCTGCTGGAGAAGGAGAGACAATCTCCTCCTGTGTCAGTCAGATCAGATTTGATGGCACACACACATTATTTTCAGAGGGATTAACACCCAAACTTCAAATTTTTTCTTCTCCCCCATTTTCTTTTATTAGTTTGTTTAAAAAGTCTGTATACATCGTGTTCCACACTATTCTTCATTCGCATTGTATTTCATACAATCATTCTTATGCATTATATTTTATAAAATTAATCACCTTTCTACTTTGCCCATCATTACTGTCTTTTTGCCCAGAACCTTCCCATTTACTTCCCCCCGCTTCCAACCACAAATCTGTGCATCCCTGTAGTTTTACCCCAACCAATTCTCGGCCTTCTGCTATCCCCAACATGTTTTAATAGTTATCCTTCTGTTTTTACAGTTATGGTCTTATGTAAGCAGTATTTCTAACCACAGCCAGAACCAGTGTGGGTAGAGCATTGTTTAAAAGATAAATAAGGAAGTGGGATTGTCTATCCTCTGGTTTAGGTAATAGATATTTTTTATATGCAAATAAATTTGAGGGGATAGTGAGTAGAATAGTTTCCAATTTGCCTGCAAATAATTTTGTTTTACCCCATTTCAAATACTAAAATTATTGTTTAGTTCTCCTCATTCCACATGGAAAAAGAGCTGTGAACAACTATAACATTTTTGTTGTAATAATTCTAACACACCATCAGACCTTTCTCAAGCAATATGTGGTTCTTAAAAGACTGATACCAAACCTTGGAAACCCATCAGAGAGTTGGTTATGAATTGATTCTGACTCAACAGCAATTGACACTGGCTTTGTAAAGATCTGACAAGATTTTTACACTGGTTTTGCCCATATTTTCACAGTTAAAACAACAATAAAAACAAAAAAAACCCCAAATCAAAATGGGTATATTTTTTCCTAAGTGAAAACATCCACTTCAAAGAATTAACTGGACGATATGATCAGTAAAGTCTTAAATCAGGAAGCAAAGCCAACTCAGCATTGCTTCATCTCTAACAACCTACTGTGGCTTTCTGTTGTTGTTATTGTTAAGTGCCATCAAGCTGATTACGACCTGTGCAACCCTGTGAACAAGAGACCTGCCTGAATCCTGTCCAGTCCTGTGCCATTCTTAATCATCTTTGAAATACTTGATCTCATAGCTGCAGCAACAGTGTCAGTCCATCTTGTTTAGGGCTTTCTTCTCTTTCACTGACCATTCATTCACCTCTTAATCATCTTTGAAATACTTGATCTCATAGCTGCAGAAACTGTGTCAGTCCATCTTGTTTAGGGCTTTCTTCTCTTTCACTGACCATTCATTCACCTTTCCAAGCTTGATGTCCTTTTCTAAGGAATGTTTTGTTGCTATTGTTGTTGTTTCTTATCAACTCAGAACTGATGGATAGCTGAACATCCAGCAGGTTTTCAGAAACAATAAATCACATAGAAGGAAATTGCCTATCTTTCTCTTGCAGAGCACCTGGTGAATTCAAACTGCGAGCCTCTGGGATTGCTGCGCAGATTCTTACCACTAGTCTACCAGAGCTCCCTATTGCTTATCCAAGGAATGTTGTTGGTGTGTTCGATTGTGTTCGAATTGACTCCAAATCATTGCAACTTTATGTACAACAGCTCTGAACCCTGCTCTCTCCTGAGCCAATTTAATTGTCTCTGACATATCTATACCCATTACTCTAGTCAGTCAGTCACTCTGTCTCATCCAGGGTCCTTCTTCAAGAACTGGTGCCCCCTTGAAACATGCCCAAAGTATGTCAAAAGGAGATTCAGAATTCTTGCTTCCAAGGAGAAGCCTGGTTTTTTTCTCTTTAGGACAGACCTGTTTGTTCTCCTGGAAGTCCACAGTGTGACCAACACTCTTCTCTAGCACAACAGATCTAAGGTATTGATTGTTCTTCTGTCATCCTTATTAATTGTCCAACTCTCTGATGTATAGCAAGTAATTGCAAAGACCATGGCCTGGATCAAGTACACCTTAGTCTCTAGCTAGACATCATTGCTCTTCAGTATTCTGGAGAAGTTCTTGAAAACTTATTTTCCCAGTGCAGTCTCTTTTGATTTTCAGCCTGCTGATACCAAGTGTGTTGATTATGAAGCCAAACAAATTGAAGTAGTTAATAATCTCCATCTCTTCACTACCTATCATGATGCTACCAATCGATCAAGTGGTGAGAATCTTTGGTTTCTTGATGTTGAGTTTCAATCCATATTGAAGACTGCAGTCTTTGACCTTCTGCAGCAAATGTCTCAAGTCCTCCTCAGTTCCAGCAAGCAAGGTTGTGTCATCTGCATAAAATTGATTGTTGATGCCTCTTTCTCCAATCATGATACCACATTCCTCCTCATCAGCCCCCAGGATGATCTGTTCCACATATAGGTTGAAAAGATATAGAGATAGAATGCATCCCTGGGGTACACCTTTCCTGATTTTGAACCATGCAGTGTTTCCTTGCTCTGTTCTGATGACTGCCTCCTGGTTCAAATATAGGTTTCACATAAGCACAATCAAGTGTTCTGAGATCCCAGTTTTTCTCAGAGTTAGCCACAGTTTGTTCCAATCCACACAGTCAAATGCCTTTGCATGGTCAGTGAAATACAGATAGATATTGCTCTTGGACTCTCAGCTTTCACCTAAGATCCATCTAACATTGGCTGTAATATCCTTAGTGCCACGGCCTCTTCTACACCCAACCTGCACATCTAGCAGTTCTCTTTTGATGTGCTGTTCCAGTCATTTCTGGATAATTTTCAGCTGGGTCTTGCTTGCACGTGATATTAGTGATATTGTTTGATAATTTCTATACTATGTCTTTCCTAATAATATGTTCGAATTATGGGAGATGAGGTTTCCCTATCTTTGTCTCCAAGGAGCAGTCTGGATGCACTTTTTCAAAATATATTTATCAATTCTTTTGGGTGTAAATGGGAAACCCAGAACTCTTCCCTAATACTACAACTCAAAAGTATTGATCTTTCTTCTATCATCCTTATTCATTGTTCAAGCCTTAGATGCTTAGCAGGGGATTGAAAAGACCATGGGCTGAATCAGGTACTTCTTACTATTTAAGCTGACATCATTGCTCTATAGTACTTTGGAAAGGACGCTGACTATAGATTTACCCTGTGCAATAGGTCTTTTGATTTCTTGACTGCTGATACTTGTAGTGATGATTGTGGATCCAAGCAAGTTCAAATAATTGACAACTTCAATCTTTTCTCCATCTATCATGATATCTCACTGGCCCAATTGACTAAGTGGTGAGGATCTTAATGTTGA